TGTCCTTATATAGGGAGGTAATGAGAGCCCTTTTTTTTTTTTTTTTTTTTTTTGGTGTGATGTGATAAAGACTTGGAAGCGAAACAAGAGGCAGTTTACCAGCGGTTTGGGAGAAACTTCTGGTTTTGCAGGAAAATACCATTTGCTTAGCTCGTTGCTTTAAGAGCTGGATTATATGATGAGACTTGCAATACATGTGGGTGTGACTAAAAAACAAAGGACTATTTTGTTTGTTTGCAGCATGTATGTAATTGATTTAAATTTTATTACAGTATTTTTTTATAATAAAATTAAATTTTAAATATTAAAATTAAAAACGAAACAGGTCAAAAGTTTTTAAAAGTGAAGCTTCTAAAAACATGGCTCTATTTATTAATTTTACATTATATTTAATTTGCTCATTATACTTCTTATAGAATTTTTTTAATGAGAAAATTTTATTTACCAATTAAAGAGATGTTTAGTTGGAAGATTCAAACTATGATTTGAATCATGATTCATGATTTATTACAGTATTTTTTCTCATAAAAATACACGTAAATTAAAAATAATTTTAATCACGTGATTCTAATTCATGAATTAAACGTTACATAAGTCAATAACACTAAAGCAACCGATGGTACATGCTTAAGGTTCCAACAATCTGAGCCCCCTTGAAAGGAAATAATTAACAACCATGCTCATCATCAAATTTTTCTTCATTTAATTTATTTTGCTATTATTTCTTCATTTAATTATACTAGTTTTTAGCGCATGCTTTGTGCGCGTGTTTCAATTAAAATAACAATCTTATACATTATTTTTTTAAAGAAAATAAAGAAAGGAAAAAAAGCATCAATTAAAAAATAAAAATAAAAAGCAGAAAAAGATTTGAAACAAAAGATAGAAGAAAAAGTTTTATAAGCAATTTAATAAGTTTTATAAATAATCTATTTATATAACAATTTATAAATAAAAAAATATTCAACAAATTTTTAACGGGTGCTTAACTTTTTTATTTTTGATTTAGAAACAATTTATTTATTTATTTTTTATCTTTTTTTTGGTGATACGTGTTTACTTATATTGTTGTGTTTTAAATTAATTCTAAATATACGAAGATGGTAGTCAATTCAAACAAGGTCATGCTGGACTCTTGGATCTCTTCTTACGTAAGCAGAATTACTAGG